AAAAAACCAAATATTATATATATGTTTTTTTCACTGTAATATAGGTTAAAATGTTTTTTTAATTGATCTTTACATTTTAAATAGGGTCAATTGCACAAACAATCTTCTTTAAAGTAGGATGATTATTATAATTGCACACTAAATTTTCAATTTTTAAAATTAAAACTCTTAAATTTTTATGAGTGAAAAATTTACGTCATTTCGGATTCCCGGCCTATTTTGGCCAAACTTTCAAGTGGAGAAATGAAACTCCCAAACTTTCCTAGAGTAAAAAAATTGTACACCTAAACTTTCAATTCTAAAAATTAAATCTTTAAAATTTTATGAAAAAATCAAATCTAGTTTTACTCTCTCATCTCCTTTCACTTTCTTTCTCCTCGTTCCTCTCTACTTTCTCTCTCAAGAAAATTTGCTAGTTTTTCTTTATACTTTATGGAGTTTAATTTTTACAATGGAAAGTTTTTAAGATCTCTACGTTTTAAATATTTCGCAGATCATAAGAATTTTGACTTTTCAATTTCTTCGTAGAATGAATTCCCAAGTTTAGGAGTAAAATCATTAAACCTTAAAAAGGTTTAATTGATTCCCACCTAAAGATTATTTCAATAAACTTTTGTAATAAATAAAAAAAGATTTAATACATTTTACAGAATTTTTAAATATTGAACTTTTTTCGTTATTTAGATTATGTATCTCCAAATGTCAATTCCCCAACGACATTCTTTCTCAAGAAAACAAAACAAAACACAAACAAAAACAAGAGAAAAAAAACTAATATTCTGAGATATTAACGAAGTATCGAATACTAAAATGAAACAAAAAGTATTGTACTGAGTATATAATTTGAACATATCTTTTATATGACATTTCCAATAAAGAGATGAGTTGAAAACATCGGATCGAGGGGTTGGGAGGCAAAATGATGGATACAAAAACATTGGAAGATTACATGATCAAAGACGTACAAGAACATTTGTCAATTTTTAGTAAGGATGATGTCTATGTTTCCTTCGAGCACTGGGTGACTTGATAACAAGAGTGCTCGAAATCCAGGATCGATAAGTTTCGTGAGAATCATCCGAACACCAACAACATAAACGTCCATCTTCTCCACCTGTCCATCCAAACACACCTTGACTCTGTGAAAAACCACCTAATACATTTGTCACGGGCAAGACACTTCTAACAACACCAACATGGCCACCCTCAAGCACAACGTTGGGTGATTCGATTGCATTCTTCCCCTTATGGTGATCGACTGGGAAGTAGCCTACAGTGCCATCATTGGTACCTCCAAGAACCCACAGTCGATCGCCTTCATTCGAGTAGTGACAATCAACCAAATAATCAACCTGCAAGAAAAATAAAAGCAAATCAGTATGATATGCATGCATTTGTAAAACTTTAGAGAACTGCATGAACCATTCACTCCAACTCAAGATTATCTAATTCTTTGAACTGATAGACTGGTTAAATCTACTGTATGAATGAACTTGAAGCACTTAGAAGGAACAGCATAAAGAACATTCTTAATCATCATTATCCAGTTGCCAACGGGAAAAGACAAGTAACAATTCACTTTTTTTTTTTTTTTTCAAAAAGTCAATGCCAGCCCCAAAAGGCCCAGGAGACATTAAGGATTTTCCTTATTAAGCTCACTTGAAAATTCGAACTCACAACCTTTGAGTAGGAGTTACTCAAAGACCACGAACCGTAGCCAATGGGGCCAACTTGAGGTAGAAGTTGACTTGAGAACTTGAACCTCCAATGTCAAGGGAAGGAATCAATGTTTTATTGATGAGCTAAGCTCAGGTTGCGAGTGACATAAGTTCACTAATTAAATGGAAACGAGAGATGCAATAAAAAAACTAAAATAAAACCTCACATGATCCATTTTCCAACTGTTGGAAGCTAGTGTGCGAGCATCCGTGATATCTGCTTCATTTCTCCCATCTGACCAGTCCCATAAGCTACCATTGAGCATTGATGTAAAACTTCAGCGTCAGTTAACTAGAAAAGCAACTCAAAAGATAAAGTTCTCAATTGTGCAGAGGAAAGAAAATGAGATCAAACAGTAGGTAAAAGTTTTGTAATCAAGAAAGAATTGCAAATTCTCTGGACATGGAAGGAAATAGCTACGTAGTCTAACTTGAACTGGGGGTGTTTAGAGAGAAGAAAGTTGGTACCTCAAGGTTTCAATGTGAGTCAAACACCACAACTTTCTATAATTCTCTCCAAAAAACCCAATCTTACCGACTGAAGTTCCCACGTTAATCACCTACATGATAATGAGGAAAACTCTAATCAAATATTTGTAGATTCGAACTTGAAAATTTATTTGTAAATCAAAATCAAACAATATAACAAGGTCAACCAAACTACAAATGCAAAAACACTTGGTATTTGTTGAAGAGTAGTGGAATAGTCAAACAGAACATTGTACGAAGTTTTAAATCGTATCCTAGATATATATAAAGGAGGTACAGTGAATAAAATTGTGTTAACTCTTCCCATTAAATTAAGAGCATTAAATCGGTCCTGTGGATTTGTCACTGTGAACAGTGGTGGAGCGAAGAAGGAAGGATTGCCCCTACTAATTTTGCTCTTCCCTAAAAAAATTTATAGTTCTGCCTCTAACCATGAAGAATTCCGATAATACTATGGCATTTTAGATTCACATGCAAAGCATGTGAACCTAGCAGTTGAGGCACTAATTTGAAGCAGATAAGCTCAATCAGGAAAGTATCTACCATACAAAAAAACGTTGAGATAATACTGTCTCTCTCCTTACAGAATCCATATGGTCGTCATCATCAATATCCCCATTGGTGTCAAATATACAAACCAACCCATCCACGGAAGCAGAAGCAAGCTTGCCTTGATGGCCAGGAATAAAGTGAACCTGTTAACAAAAGAGAAACTAGATGAGATGAATTGCACTGACAAAATTCTACCCAAAAGAAAAAAGGGGGATCTTCAGGAGAGGGGAAGCAAAAATGTAAGGAGCTGTAAATTTAAGCSATGTAGAACGAATGACCACAGTTTTTTTGTGACAATCCAATTGTAAAGAACATCATATCATAATAACCCAGAAGCATAATTCGGTAGAAAATGCATATCATGATGAAAAGAGTGCAAAATCAATGATAGGAATGGGACAAATTCCTAATTGTCAGAAAATTAAGTATTTGACTCTTTTCTATAACCACTATGGCACTTGCTGACAATTTTTTCCCGACATGTTTCCCAAAGAAAAGGAAAAGCATCTGTTACATAGAACTATTATATTTTTTGAGGAACTTTCATCCAAATTTACCTGATAGGGAATGCTAGTAAGAGCCATACGATACCGTCATAGTGACATCTAAGAGCTCGACCATTTTTATTTTCCTTCTAATTTCCTGGAATCAAAGTCATGTGGTTTACGCTAGTAGATCCCTATAACCGAGGCTCGTTGCCTGAGCTGAGCAACCCTGTGACTAGCGTGGGAATCGAACTTAAGACCTCAAGATAAGTGGTGATGCCCATGCGCTTGCCACTACACCATCCCCATGGGACTCTAAGAGCTCTAACCTTTGCTCAACGGTTTCCAAGAAACTAGTTGTAGTTGTTAATTACTTGAACATCAAATGACATGTTGTAGATCAATGCTATGCATAGTTAACAATTAACCTATTTCCTAGCAAGAATCTGATTCTCGATAGTCATGATTCTCAATAGTCACATTTAATAATGTCTATGGTGGTAAACTTGTTTTATGTATAGATTTTTACAAACAAGTGTTTGTTAGAAATACATCCTAGTTTTTAAGAAGAAAGGAAATAACTCCCAATTTTGAGGAAAAATCACTAGCACAAAATTACAAATCTAACATACATATGACTAAACCATTTCCATTGCAAGCACATGTAAGTTTAAGTGGAGTGGTGCATAATTCGTTTTGTAAACTGAAGCGAGTACAGATGTTAACCAAAATCGTATCATGGCAAATATTCATTGATAATCACCATATACAAGGGACATTGCACAAGCATCAGGAAGAACCTGAGTAACATCTTCCACATGAGAGTCCTCTAGGCATGCGACTTGCTTTCTGTTCCTCCAGTCCCAGAAGAGTATCTGAGTAACATTACCAAATAAGTACAATTATGTTATAAGAGTTCGCCTCACTAATGTCTCTACACTAATTGATAGCAAGATCTCGTACTTCCAAATTCCCTAATAAATGAATGGTTAAATGACAAGTTTGATCCTGAAAGTTGTATCTATGAAGACCATAAACCTTCAACTTTGTGTCTAATAGGTCTCTAAAGTTCTTAAAAAGTCTACCTATTAGACAAAAAGTTGTAAGTTTAGGGATCCAATAAACACTTTTTAAAGTTAAGAAAGACACAATATTAAAAGTTTAGAAACCTATAAAATACAACTTTAAAAGCTTAGGAGCCAATATTATAATTTAACCTAAATGAACTTACAAAAGATATCCAGCACTCACTGAAAAAAATGAAATATTACTTCTAATGTGACATTTAAGAAAATTGATATGATTATAAAGAAATTAACATCTCTAACTAAATTAAACTCACCTGAGATTTACAACCAGCAGCAAGAAGATTCGTACTTGATCCTCCATAGGCGAAGCTGAAGATCTCTTGAGAAGGGCCAGCACTGATGGAAGAAATCTGCAACAAAAGCAGAGGAGACGATCATAAGCCAAAATCCCAGACCAAACAATGAACAATAAAGCAAAAACTAGAGAAAACGAAAACCTCATTAAGAGCTCGCACGTCCCAAGATCTGATAGTTCCATCAGAAGAACAAGAATGCAATACATGTGGGGTTGACGGCACAGAGAAGGAAATCTGATTGATGGTTCCACTGTGGCCTCTGCACTCTCCATAGTACTGACCAGTCACAGGCGAGTACAGCTTCACTACGTTCGAAGATAACGACACCGCCATTGACGTCCAATCCTCACTTAAAGAAGAAGTAAAAGAAAAAGAAAAAGAAAAACCCCTTGATTACCGAGACAATTCAGAGGAAATAAAACAATATGAAATGAGTCGTAAGCAAAACCATAAAACAACATAAACCCAATTGGAAATTTGGGAAGCTAATTACCTAGGGGCGATGTGAAAAACGTAGTCATCGCCGAAGTTGGTCTGAATGGAATTCTTGAGTCCGAAGCGCTTGAAGGAGCTGGAATTTGTACTCGTATCGGCATTAGCGTGCTCCTCCACATCCATGTCAATGGCTTCCATTTCCTTTATCTCCTCTCTAAGCTATGAAACACAGCAAAATTACAGACAATTTTCCCAATTTTAAGTATAGAAATTGGGTGCGAAGAAAGGGTTTTTAGGGTTTAGATGGAAAATCCCCATGAACAACCGTTGGAGGCGCGCCACTGAAATTCGCTCCAATTGCCCAACTGTTGTTAGGGTTCACAACCAGCAAAACGACGCCGTTTATGTCCTTCAATAAATATATATATATAGTATTTTTGTTGTTTAATAATCATTTTAAACCACTTTCATAGTTATTTTCTTTTTTTAGTTCCTTCCTTTCTTAAGACTTAAGAGGTTAAATTATCTAGGTCTTAATTTCAGTTTGGTTAATTTAAAATATTTCCCTCTGCAAAAAAAAAAAAATAATAATAATAATAATAAAATAAAAATATTTCTATAGGTTGAATTTTTATGTTTTAACATTTTTAATCAAGTTACATTTCACATATGGTTTTCTACACCACTTTTTTTAATCCAAAAATATATTCACCATGTAAAAAGAAACGTATTTTGTTAGTAACACTAAGGAAAATTTGTGAAATTTGAACAAACTACGTTATCAAAAGATAAAATTAAGAGACCGACATAGCTCATAATTGATATCTACTCCTCCTTCTAAGGTTGGACGTTCAGGCCTTTATACTCCCAATTTATTATAAAAAGAACTAATTTTTGAGAAATAATTGAATCCAAACCTAAACCATATAGATGGTTTAATAATTGATAATTTAACCATTTTCAAATTATATTCATTTGCTTGATTAAAATAATTGCATTTTTAGTTTGTATGCTTGAACTTTGAATTTTCAGGCATATTAAAACTTTATATTGTCATTTTTACTCCAGTATATTAAAACTTTCTATTGTCATTTTAGTAATAGGGTATTGATGATTGATACTTGCGAATATTTAAAATATATTTTATGAAGTGGATATTTCATTTAAATATGATAAAATTCATTTTTAAATTTATATTACTCATAATTGTGGTTAATTATATATTTATGTGTTTGTTTGTTTTATTATCTACTTTTTAAGACGTTATTAAAATTTAAATTAAGTTTTGCAAATGAAAAGAAAAAGTACTTATAAAATATTTTTTTTTTATTTTTGAAAGTTAATTGAAACATGTTTTTATAAGAAAGGTAAAAAAACGCACCAAAATTTTTTTTGAGAACCCAATATACTTTTAAAAATAAAAAAAACAAAAAAAATGGTTATTAAAACTAAAAACTAATATATTTCTAAGAGTTTATAGTAATCTCCACCTCCCAACATTATTTATTACTATATAAAAAAAAATATTGAACCTCACTGTTGATCCTCCATTCTATTTGGTTTTTTGCAATTAATGTTTCAACCAATCATATAATAATATATTATTGTTGAACTTATAAATTTCTGCTTAACATATCTTCATTATTACGTGACACATTAACTTTTTATTTAAAGATTATATGCGTTTTGGACACGTTCAAGTGTGAGATGTAGACTTTAAAATATTATATGGTGCAGTGATTGGTTGTTAAAAAAATTCACGCATTTCATAGCATAAGTGTTAAACTAACCAACTCAACTGACATTAAACTAACTTTGTTAATGATATATATATATTGAACATAAAATAAAAAGAAATAATAATAACAACGAATTAGAATGTTTTAATTATAAAAATTTAGACTTTTAACTCTAGAGGAAGATCAAAACTTATAATTTATAGAAATTGTGGGTAGTGGTTTGGTGGTGTTGGCAGGTTCGTTGGACTGATGCAAAGCGCTCTACTATTATTACTTGGGCTCCACTTGTCCACCACCAAGTCCAGGTTATATGGGCCGATGGCCCAAATAAATACCGGCTTTCTGTTTTATTTATTTTTGGGTTAAATATTCGTTGTAATTCTTAATATTTGAAAGCTTTTCCAATTTAGTCCTTATTGTTTGAAAAGTTTTAATTGATTTCTATTGTTTAGAAAGTTTTAACGTAGTCTGTTATGTTTTAATATTTTTCCAATTTAGTCCCTGTGAATGTTAAATTGACTGACATAAACTTAACTGACGTAAGACTATAAAGCTTGAAATTTCTATAAATTTATTATGAATTTGGAGCTTAGATCAGAAACTTTCCTTTTCTAGATGACATGATTCCTCTGAGTTTATGTTATCCACTAAGTATTATGTCATATAAAAGTTTATCATCAACCAATTTTAATATTTATGAATAGTGAGAAATTAAATGAAAAAATATTAAAATATCAAAGCCTAAATTATTATTTTTTAAATAATAAAGGCTAAATTAAAAAATACCCCTATTAAATGTCGTATTATTTGTCAAGTGATGTAATACGTTTATCTTTCATCTTTTCTAAAATTTCAATGGAAGGATTCATTTAGACACTTTACGCCCACTCATTGTGGATAACATTTGCATCCTCTGTATTACTATAAAGGTACATCCCTTATGATACACCAGATCTGGCTTGGTCAACTTAAATGGTTTCAATTTCAACCAATCTATATAAGGGTTGTCTCGGTTATTGGCTTTGGCTAAGCTATTAGTAGGAACGAACATATATAGAATCAGAACAATTCCCCGTACTAAAATTTCAATCAATTATTGCCAATACATGGGTTGTTAGCTCAAATAAACAGTCATTTCTATTTGGTTAAACTATGTAAATGGCTCAATGAAATTTTTTAATTTAATAGATGGAAATTCAAATTTACGACTTCTTGATCGAAGATAGATACCTTAACCAGTTGAGTTATGTTCAAAATGTCTTTTAGTAGATTCTGATGGAATCTGCTAGATGTACAATTTGTTTTGTTTTTTCTTCCTCTTTTGTCCTCATTTTCAATCTTCATTATAAATATAAAATAAGTTTTCCATTGAAAAAAGAACATAGGTAGTCAAATTTACCATTTGAGTACTTGTTTGGTAAAAGTTAAATAATAATATTTAGGTGTTTACCGATGAATAAGATTGTCATTAAAAAAAGAGACAGAGCTAAGAAAGTAATGCATAATTGATAGTTGGCAAGTAGGATGATGGAAATTGGCTTCAAAGTCTATAGGTATAAGCTTTCGATGGACATCGACCCTATGGTCAGAATCTTTAATGTGGAAGCTCTAACGAGCCTCCCACACCCAAAAGGTGTCCCAATTTATTTCTTTTTTTTTGGGTGCTCCCAAAAGGTGCCCCAATTTGTTTCTTAAGGTCATAAGCACCTACGGCAGGTTCTCCTTATGAGCCCGTTCCTTTTGTTGGGATACCTCTAAGAACAGATCCAGTGGAGATACGATGTCCGAGTGCAATCAAGAAACCTTATGAACATAACAAATCAAATTTCTTATCACGAATTTTTACCATAGACACAAATATTATTGAAAGTAAACTCATCATCTCCCTGCAGACTCTTTTCACTTGCCAACATATCATTTTTTTCTTCATCTTTTCTGTTTTTATCTTTTCCTATTTTTTGAGTTCTAGCCAACCATATCATGCTCAGCTCTATCTTTTTCAACGTCATTTCTCCATTACATTTTCTAGAAATTGGTCCCCCACCCTCCTTTTTCCACACACCTCCTACACAGAACTATAATTTTCTGTATAAAGATCTAGAGTTTTTTGAACGAGAATCAAAGGTTTAATACAAGTTTCCTTTTTTCCTTTTTTAGTATAATAAATGTGCAGGTTTAGATTTAAACTTTTGTCTCGGTAAAAATGAGGAGATATCTTTAACTGTTCAATTGGGTTTATCTTCTTAAGCTATAGAGCAAATAGAATTAAACTTAGATAACCTTTTTCGAGCAAGATGAGAAAAAGAGGCCAACCAACACTCACCACTCATTTGATAGAGTTTCCTTGGGGTGTTTTCTAGGGGTGTGTGGAGCCATATTTAATTTGTTAAAGTAGGTAAAAAAGTTTTATCTGTAAGATAAATGGGAGATGCCTCATTTTTTCATTTTTTTGCTTGTTACTTGGTCTTATGTTCTGACTATTTTTTGTAGTACAAAAATTATTTGGGGAAATGGGAGATTGAACCTCCGACCCCAAGGAAAATAGTATATGTCAATTATCGAGCTATACTCATGTTGGTACATATTCGACTATCTTAGTAATATAGGTGACGTAGGGTGTATGTAGTATGTAAATCTATCTATATTTTGATAATTCTAAATGAAAAGATATGTAAAATTTGTATTACACTCGCGTGATAAAAATGAACAAAAGAAATCCATTTTTATCCATGTTGTAGTCTGGGTTTTTGGTTGAATAGCCTTTCCACTTTAATATATGTCCCCACCTCCAAAACTTAAGTTTTCTAACCACTTGACATCATCAAACAATTCAAATGACCATCACTGCCCTTCCACTAATTTGATTTATTTGAATGTTTACCTGTATTCTGTTCCTCTCTTGTCCTTTTCTTTCTTTCCCATTTTCATCTTCTTCTCTCTCCTCCATCTCTCATCGTGTTTCCTTCTCTCCCTTATCAATCTTTCTTATCAACAACTGATTAGAAAACATAAGTTTAGGAGAGATAGGGATATATATCAAAGTGGGGTATCCTTCTCTCATTTCTCAATCTTTCTTCTCAGCAACTGGTTAGAAAATATAAGTTTAGTAGAGATGGAGATATATATCAAAGTGGGGCATGAGAAAGGCTAATTCAGCCCAAAAATCTTTTTAGTCTTAGGATAGGTATTTTTTTTCTCTCTAGATATGGGGAAATTTTATACACGTTCAAAAGGAAACAAAGTGAGTCTTTTTTTTTTCCTGCCTTTTTTTCCTCGTAGTCTTTATCATGGAAAAAAGGGAATTGGATAATTGAGGTTTTGAATTATATAGTTTGTCGTAACATCATTGGAATCTTTTTATTATAATACTTTTACAATTTCGGCATAAAATGATATATCTAATGTTTTTTATTTAGTTTGTAGGAGTTATATTTAATAAAATGTGAATTTCCTTTGAAATAACACTGGTTTATAATGGCATGTCATATATTAGTGTGATACAAAATTTAAAGGAGTATATTTGGTTAGGGGCAAAATCAAGCGCTTATACGTGTCCTCTGGTATCAGGTAGCTATGATACTTGAAAAATGAGGAGGAATGATCTCTGTCTTTGTACAAGTAGAACTTAGTTCAGTT